AGTGCGCTGGCGCCCTCTGGCGGATCAGTCTGCACATGCGCACATTACGGAGTGACGCGTTGCGCGCTCCCGCTCCTCCATCTGCGCGCTCCTGCTGTGCTGACAGCAAAACACGCGTTTTACACTCGGTGTGTCCTCACGACCGTCTGATTTCACTTCAGGAGGAGTGTGTGTTCATCTAGAAGTGTTACTGTACTGTCTGAACACTCGCTTCAGTGCTGTTGATAGACTCGCGGGAGTGACGGAGCTGGACTCTTCTTCTTCCTCAGGACTGATCGGTCGATTAGACGAGCTTCAGTGATCGATAACAGACTCAGGTGAGACGCTCTTCTCCTTTATTAAACTGTTCTGAGATCTGTTCAGCTGAAGGATCAGTGTTCAGGCCTGTTTGAGTTATTATTCATGTGTATTTCATAACTTTCAGGAGAGTCCAGAAACTCCCCGATTAATAATAGATGTGAGTCATGCACACACACACACACACACACACACACACACACACACACACACACACACACACACACACACACACACACCCACACACACACACACACACCCCCACACACACACACACGTGCATAGAAACTTCTCACAGATGTTATGTTTTTATACTTATATACTTATTTATATACTTTACATGCTGTATTTTCGATTCCCCTACCATTTAGTCCCCACGACGTAAGGAATACAGGGTATACACACACACATAATGTTGGTATTGGTGGTTTTTGAGGACTCACATAGGCTAATATATTTTATACAGTAAAAACTGCTTATTGTATGTCCTCATATGTTGTAATATATAGGTCATGACCATGTCATTACACAGACCTATGTCCTTGTAAACCACCAAAACTAGTACACACACACACACACACACACACACACACACACATGTTTAAACCCTTTATAAAAGTGTTTTTTTTATTGCATAATAATAATATGAAGTTAATTATTAATTATTCTAATTATTAGTAATCCTGATTAATAATAATAATAATAATAATAATAAAGCATTAGCATGTAGGGGAGTGCTGTGTTGGCGTGGGTTTCCTCCGGGTGCTCCGGTTTCCCCCACAGTCCAAACACATGCACTAAACTGACCGTAGTGTATGAGTGTGTGTGTGAAGGAGTGTGTATGGGTGTTTTCCAGTACTGGGTTGCAGCTGGAAGGGCATCCGCTGCGTAAAACATTTGCTGGAATAGTTGGTGGTTCATTCCGCTGTGGTGACCTCTTATATTGAAGTGACTGAGCTGAAGGAGAATGAATGAATGTGTGTTTCTGTGCCTGCTGTTTGGACAGATGGAGGCGGTCCTGCAGCGGCTGCAGACGCTGACCCCGGATGAGCTGAGGGTGCAGCTGAGGGCCGCTGGGCTCCAGTCGGGCCCGGTGACACACACCACCAGGAGCCTGTGGGAGAAGAGACTGGCTCGAGCGCTGCTGGAGGAACGCACAGACTCACACACACCGCATTCAAGTGGAGCACTTCCTGCGGACGAGCCCGAGCAGCCAATCAGTGTGCAGGAGACACAGGAAGCGAGGGAGGAGAGCTCAGAGACGTCCACTGAGGGGCCGAGTGTTTATTATGGGGTGTGTGCTAATCCAGATGAGCCCTCATTACTTACAGGTCTGAAGACACTTGCACAGACACACACACACACACACACACACCAAACACACACACACACACATTCATTCATTTTCCTTCGGCTTAGTTCCATATTTATCAGTGGTCACCACAGTGGAATGAACCACCAACTATTCCAGCAAATGTTTTACAAAACGGATGCCGTTTCAGCTGCAACCCAGTACTGGAAAACACCCATACACACTCATTTACACGCACACACTCATTCACTACAGCCAGTGTAGTTGATCAGTTCCCCTATAGCGCATGTGTTTGGACTGTGGGGGAAACCGGAGCACCCGGAGGAAACCCACACCAACACGGGGAGAACATGCAAACTCCACACAGAAACGCCAACTGACCACAGCTTGGGGAAAGGGGATTCTTTCTGTAGGTCCCCTTTAATAAAGAGTTGCTGTAGTGTAATTAGTGTGTGTGTGTGTGTGTGTGTGTGTGTTTGCAGGCTCTCCGCTGGTGTTTGTGGATCAGACGAAGGTGCTGAAGGCTGTGATGAAGCTGAAAGACGCTCGGTTCAAAGCCTTCGCCAGCAGAGCAGAAGCAGAGAACTTCGCTAAAGGTCTATGTGGAGGAAGAGTTTCACCAGAGAAACCCAGCACCGCGTCTGTCACAGGTCTGACACACACACACACACACACACACACACACACACACACACTCACTCACATACGCATGCACTCATGTTTGACTGTGTTCAGTGCAGATGTAGAGAAGGCTAATGAGTTCAGGAGTCCGCGCACACAGGATCTGACGGCTACGCTGCGCAGGACAGTGGAGACCGGAGACCAGCAGGCCTTCAGAGAGCTGGTGTGGACAAACCCTCGCTTCCTGATCGGCTCCGGAGACAACCCTACTGTCCTGCAGGTGCACACACACCCACACACACACACACACACACACACACACACACACACTTCTGTCTGCTTCACTGGTTTGGATGGTTTACTAGTACAGAAATCTCCATAATGACATGGGTATGAGCTGGATATTACAGCACTGAGGTGGTTTATGAGGACGTATAATGAGTGTTTTATTCTGTATAACATGCATTACGCATATAGTGAGTCCTCATAAACCACCATATACCAACAATGTGTGTGTGTGTGTGTGTGTGTGCAGGAGGGCTGCAGATATAATGTCCTGCACGTGGCAGCGAAGGAGAATCAGGCAGGAATGGCTCGTCTTCTGCTGGAGACGCTGGAGGACCCGGAGTTCATGAAGCTGATGTACCCGCAGGACCAGGAGAACATGCTGAGCCAGCGCATACGCTATATAGTGGACCTGTACCTGAACACACCAGACAGAGCTGTGGGTCACACACACACACACACACACACACACACACACACACACATACGCAAGCACACCCACTCTCAAACACACACATACACACACACACACACATCTAGTAGATATTGGACATGTACCTGAACACACCGGACAGAGCCATGAGTCACACACACACACACACACACACACACACACACACACACACACACACACACACACAAACACATATACTTTATCTGATATGAGGTGTGTATTCCCCTCAGAGTAACGAGACGCCGCTGCACTTCGCCTGTAAGTTCGGCTGTCCAGAGGTGGTGAATGTTCTGTGTTCTCATCCGTTCATCGATAAACACTGCAGGAACAAATACGACCAGCAGCCGTCCAGTGTAAGACACACACACTCACTACACACTCGACACACTCAACACACTCTTGCCACATTGCTTTACTACATTTGAATTTTTCTTATGGTAACATAAACTGACTACTTTTGCAATACTTTTATTGTAATGTAATCTGACTAGTCTTGGATTACATTTAGATTACGTTATGGTAATGCAATCTGACTAGTCTTGGATTACATTTAGATTACTTTTATGGTAGCGTAATCTGACTACTTTGGATTACATTTAGATTACTTTGTGGTAATGTTATCGTATTATTTTTGAATTACATTTAAATTACTTTTATAGTAATGTGATTTGACTACTTGTGGATTACATTTAGATTACATTTATGGTAGTGTAATCTGACTACTCTTGGATTACAATTAGATTACGTTATGGTAATGTTATCATATTATTTTTGGATTACATTTAGATTACTTTTATAGTAATAAAATTTGACTACTCTTGGATTACATTTAGTTTATCTTCATGGGAATGTGATTAACTACTTTTAGATTTCATTTAGATTATTTTATATTAACGAAATATAAATGTAATCTGACTACTTAGATTACGTTTACATAATTTTTATCGTAACAATCGGACTACTTTGGATTACATTTAGATCACTTTTATGGTTATGTTATCATATTATTTTTGAATTACATTTAGATTACTTTTATAGTAACATAATATGACTACTTGTGGATTACATTTAGATTACTTTTATGGTAGCGTAAACTGACTAGATTTGGATTAAGTTTTAATTCATTTTATGGTAGTGTAATCTGACTACTCTTGGATTACAATTAGATTACTTTCTGGTAATGTTATCATATTATTTTTGGATTACTTTTAGATTACTTTTATAGTAATATAATTTGACTACTTTTGGATTACATTTACATTATCTTCATGAGAATGTGATTAACTACTTTTAGATTTCATTTAGATTATTTTATATTAATAAAAAAAGGAATGTAATCTGACTACTTTTAGATTACATTTTCATTATTTTTATCTTAACAATATGACTACTTGTGGATTACATTTAAATTACTTTTATGCTAGCGTAATCCGACTACTTTTATATTACTTTTAAACTATTTTTATCGTAACAATGTGAATACTTGTGGATTACATTTAGAATATTTTTATGGTTGCGTAATATGACTACTCTTGGATTACATTTAGATCACTTTTATGGTAATGTTATCATATTATTTTTGCAACAGCTTCAGTTTAAAGTGCAATGATAGAATTTACTATTCACAATACTCTCACTAATATACCTCGCTGTTAGTGTTCGCTGAGAGTAACACTCATTGACAACAAACCAACTCTGATGGGTTTAATGCAATAATTTTTAACTTTTTCTTTAATTTTTAACATTCTGTAAGGGGTCTACGGATGTAAAATAGCCATTCTTGGCTAATTCTGGCACATTTTACAGTAATGTTTATTAATGTGCATTGACCCTGTAAACAAAATAAACTAAACTAATTTCAATTAAGCACATTTAGAAAACGGCAACATTACAGAAACCTGTTCTGAAAAACCCGAGATTCACAGCAACATCAGTGCGACATCACTGTATTAATGTAATATAAACCATATCTTCTGGAAATACAGTACATGAAGAATCATGCATTCTTAAGCAATTTACTGCCTTTGTGTAAATAGTAGGTAATCATGTAATCTATAAAATGAAATTGCAATCTGATTAGGAGTGTTTTATAAAGTGTGTGAGACTGATTACACATAATGCATCCCCAGCGCTGTTTGTTTTGTTTATCAGGTGATCTGTGAGCGAAAGAACAGAAGTAAAGACGTGAAGCAGAAGATCCTGCAGTATCTGGAAGGTGCATCTCCATCCTGACAATTTCTCTGTTACTCTTGCGCATCTCTTCAAACTCCACATGAAATGCAAACTAACCGTATTCATTTTGTTAGCTTAAATTGCTAGTTTTTAATCAATTCATCTGTGCGTGTGATTTCAAGAAAGGAAAATAGCTTGCTCTTTTAATCTGTAATTGAAATTTGAAAATGCTCTTCCTGTTTGTTTCAGTTAAATTCTCAGATTAGGGCTGTCCGAGGTATTGGGCGTGGCTAACATACTTAACCACACCCCTCCAACAGAAATAGTGAGCAGGAGGAGTCTGTTAGGCTGTAATAACTCTCCCCAAACCCCCCCCTTTTGAATGAAATGCCAACTTTACTACATCCAATAAGTAGAAAAAACAAGCCACGCCCACTCTCGCTCATTAGTATTCTGTTTCTCAAGGAACTGCGTCACAATACAGAAAAAAAACAGTGTTGTTCATGTGGACTTTAATGTGTTGTGTCACTGCTGGGTTTGGTCTTTTTGTCACAGACAGGTTTTATGTGCCATTACTGCGTGCTGAAGACAACACTCTGCCTCCGGTGATCGGCGCCCCCTGGTGTCCTGGTGCTCAGGAGTCATGTGACCAATCGCTTGAGCAGGACAGAGTCATGGACAGTCCCAAAAACCCCATAATGACCATCAGGGCTTTCGTTGGGCCTCTGAGTTCCGCAAAGGTACTTTAAAGACTGTAAAATAAAAGTTTACGATGTTATACACCTTGTTATTCTTAAGTTAAAAAATGAATATGTGCAAGATAATTCACTGTTAAAAAAGTTTATTTTGGTAATCTTCAATCTGAGCATCTGCTTCTGTGTTTTGATTGGCTCCTTCTCTGATTATGTCAGTTTGCCACAGTATTCTTAACCACGCCCCTCTTGCTGTTAGTTTGCTATGAGGGAATTTCTCTCTGCTTGCCTGGGAACACCTCAGGATACCCTGGAGAAGTGTCTGGAAGAGTGTTCTGCTAAGACTGCTGGATCTGCGGATAAACGGAGAAAAATAAACGAATGAATGAATTTAATGAATGAACTTTTTATTTGTTTCTGTTGTCACAAATTGTAATAATTCTAACACTTGTTGTTCTACTGTAGCATAAAGGAAACCTAAGGTGAAGGAATTGTGTTTTTCCTGCAGGCAGAGGAGTTTCAGAGACGGTGGAAAACACCGCCGCGGGAGCAAGCCCAATATTTCCATCAGATCCTGAAGTCTGATGCAGAGCGCGGAGCAGAGAGAGTGGGCAGGTGAGCTGATGCTGGACATCTCTCCACACACACACACACACACACACACACACACTGTAACTGAAGGCCTGCTGTGTGCGCAGAGAGCTGGCGCATCAGATGGGCTACACATGGGCTGAACACTGGGCTTTCCTAAACGCGTTCACTGACCTGTCCAGCAGAGACGGCCTGAAGATGCTGGAGGAACACCTGAGTTCAGGAAACCCACCACGGACACACTGTCCTGCTGCACACACAGGTACAACAACATCTGCTTCATCAGTGATGTTACATCAGTTTTGTCCTAACTCTTTGTGACGGCGTGGCACAAAAATTCTATTATGCTACTGCTTTCTGTTTCTGTGGCAGAACAACAGCATAAACTTCTGTCAGTGTGAAATGTTTTGAATGAATTATTGTTGTACAGAGTCACAAAAGTGATGCTATGTTGATGATAGTATCTGCAGCTGTATCCCTCTAGACTTTACTGCAGTGGAATGACACTAAAGCTCCTCTTGACCTGCTGCAGGAGCTGCTGGAGATGCTGGAGCGGTGCGTCTGCCCGTGTGTGACCTGCTGCAGGAGTTTGAGAAGGTGCTTCAGTGTGGAGATCAGACTGATGGAGAGAGCGAAGATGAGGAGCTGTTTTTCACAGCAGACGAGGACTCTGATGATGCGGGAGGATCCTGGATCTGCAGACGGGTGGAGCAGGATCCCTCTATCAGCTCCTCCGTCAGCTCCTCCTGCTCCTCATTTAAATCAACACACAGCACGACTACAGAGCGAGACGCAGCCGATGTGTTCATCACTGGGTGAGCTGTGCACACTGATCAGACTGCACTATACTATACTATACTATATTATACTAATACTACACTATACTTATACTATACTAATACTATACTATACTATACTAATACTTTACTAATACTATACTAGTACTATACTAATACTATACTATATTAATACTATACTAATACTATACTATGCTATACCATACTATACTATACTAAGACTATACTATACTAATACTATACTATACTAATGCTATGCTATACTATACTATACTTTACTAATACTTCACTAATACTATACTAGTACTATACTATACTAATACTATACTCTGCTGTACTAATACTTTGCTAATACTATACTATTACTATACTATACTAATACTGTACTATACCAACCCTATACCATACTATACTATACTACTACTATACTATACCAATGCTATACCATACTATACTATACTAAGACTATACTATACTAGTACTATGCTAGTACTATGCTATACTAATACTATACTATATTAATACTATACTATACTATATTAATACTATACTATACTAATACTATACTATAGTAATGCTATACCATACTATACTAAGACTATACTATACTAAGACTATACTATATTAATGCTATACTATACTATACTAAGACTATACTATACTAATACTATACTATATTAATGCTATACTATACTAAGACCATACTATACTAATACTATACTATACTAATACTTTACTAATACTATACTATATTAATACTATACTATACTAACCCTATACCATACTATACTATACCAACCATATACCATACTATACTATACTAATACTATACTAATACTATACTATACTAATACTATACTATACTATAGAATAATACAAAAGTATTATCTGATATAATGTATGAATATATGAAGATGTATAAGTATGTAAACATGTCATTGGTGCTGGAAAAGTTTGAAATGCATCAGGAAAGTGCTTAAATTTGTCTTTGGAAAAGGTGTAAGAAGTTGTTTATTGATCATGTTTTGCTTTGTTTTGTTTAGTCCTTCTCCCAGCAGACTGGACCACGAGGTTCTGGTGGCACTGAATGATGTGCAGATTGACCTGCACTTGTATCCCACTGTCAGCAGGTGGAGGAACAGGGTTGTGTCCTATTCTCCATCACAGAGACAGAGGTAGTGTTTGCTATCTGTAACTCACATTCAGAATGTTAAAGTCAGCATGAACCAGAAGCTAAAACTGCTTTTTCTGTATTGTGACTCAGTTCCTTGAGAAATGGAATATTGAATGAGTGGGTGTGGCTTGTTTGGGTGTAAAGTAGGCGTTTCATTAAGAAAGATGAGGGAAAGGGTTTAGGGAGAGTTATTACAGCCTAACAGACTCCTCCCCCTCACCATTATTGTTTGATGTTAAAACTGACAGCTGGAGGGGCGTGGTTAGGTGTGTTTGCCACTCCCAATACCTCAGACAGACCTAATCTGAGAAATAACTGCAAGCAAACAGGAAGTGCATTTGCAGATTTTAACGAAAGATTACAAGAGCAAACTATTTTATTCTCAACTATTTATTCTCAATAACATGCACAGTACGCACAGGTGTTCTGTTTGAATTAAATTCTCCAAATAAATTCTGTATTTGGAATCACCAATGTAGTTAAACAACAACTGTCTCTTCAGTTTTATTTCTAAACGTTCGAATCAAACAAATTGGAAAATAGTTGACCAAGCTAATGCACATCTTCAATTGAAGGGAACAAGATCACGACACCAACCTTATTTATGGCTGTTTCTGTTTACAAGTTACACATTATCATCTCCTGAATAACGATCGTCTGCTCGCACTGATCTTCTGAGGTAATTCTCAACTTGGTGTTGATGGAGAATCTCCTCCAGAAATGACAGCGACTCTTTGTTTGTCTGCGTTTGAGTAGTTGATGTCTTGTGATGTGCGTTTGACAGAACAGACTGCACCTCGCATTTGTTCCATACAGATCACAAAACCAGAGAACATTTGTTTTTAAGTGTAGAGATTTGAAGCTTTCTGTGGATACATCTCTCCTGTGTGTGAAGCAAGTATTGGCCGAGATTCCAGTGTGTTTGCTGAGCCCAGAGATGAAGCTGCAGAAACTGCCGTAAACACACGTCAACTCTGAGCCCCTTCTCTGGAGAATCATCTATATCTTTCATATATCTATCTATCTAATCTATCTATATCAGTCTATATCTTCAGTATTTGTTGTGTTCTCCGCTCACATGAAGTGTTTTTCTCTGAATTTGCAGCTGGCCCGCAGTTTCAGTGCTGACCCCAGAGCAGTGGAGCTCAACGGCTGATAGGCTGAACATGTTGAGCGGCTCTCCCAGACTCAGACGCCCGCCTCACTGTGACCATCAGCTGCTCATGTTCAGCCCCACAAACAAGACCTACAGACACATTTAAGCAGATGTTCAGTCACAAACACTACACTCACACACAAACACACACACACACACACACACACACACACACATATACACACATACAGTTAAAGTCAGAATTATTCACCCCCCTGTTTATTTTTTCCCCCAATTTCTGTGTATCAGAGAGCTTATTTCAGTAAATAATATTAGCCTAGATATTCTTCAAGACACTAGTGTTCAGCTTAAAGTGACATGTAAAGGCTTCACTAGGGTAATTAGGGTAAAGTTAGGGTAATTAGGCAAGTCATTGTATAACAGTGGTTTGTTCTGGAGACTATTGAAGAAAATATAGTTTAAAGGGGCTGATAATATTGAGCTTAACATGGCGTTTAAAAAAATTCAAAACTGCTTTTATTCTAGCCGAAATAAAACAAATCAGACTTTCTCCAGAAGAAAAAATATTATCAGACATACTGTGAACATTTCCTCAATCTGTTCAGCATCATTTGGGAAATATTTTAAAAAGAATAAATAATCAAAGGGGGCGAATAATTCTGACTTCAACTGTTTATACACGCACACAGACACACAGAAACACACATACACACACACATACATATGCACACATACACACACACTCCGACACACAAGCGTGCACACACACAGACCAACGCACACACGTATGCGTGCACATGCACACACAGACCCAGGCCCCGTTTACACTAGTGCGTTTTAGTTTTAAAACGGCGTTGTAGAATGAAAACGATCCGCGTCCACACTCGCGTTTTACCCAGCGTTTCTGAACTGCTCTCCGTCCACACCAAAACGCTGAAAACGCACATCACGTGACCACACACACACTCTCGGGCAAGCGCTCCAGCATTTCTACCCAGATGAGAGCTCTGCTTGTCGGACTGCTCATCACGCATCTCCCGCTGGATCTAATCTCGCTATATTTGCTAAACGTGATATTACATTCATGTTGTTGTCTTTATTTAACGACATATTCCCTGACTTTGGTCATTGGAATCTATTAAGTTACTTGTTCACGGGTAACATGTTTTGGTTAAGCGCAAAGATAAGTTAATGATTAATCCAGGTACATTGACTGATCGCTTGCCTTTATTTCCTACAATGTATAAACTTATTGTATGTTATACTTTTATAATTATCGATTATTAAAACTGATATTCAGCAAAAGAGAGGGTGCGTTTCGTATTTTCACTGAAATTGAAAGGAGGCAGTTGTTATCGGCTCCGTTTTGTTATAAATATCCACACAGTGAAGATGACGCTCATATATGCAGCACGACGCCTCAACATTTCTGCTGTCTAAGTTGCTAATATTAAAAAGAAAATAGGCAGTTCCTTAAATCATGTTTACATTTTATTGTTGAGAAAGTGAAACAACGTAGCCAAGGTGATGTGAATGAAGTTATAAAGTACACTGTTCCCTGTGAAGATTTACCCGTGTCCTCGGTATGTTTTCCATATCAAACTGAGAACGGGGAGACTGCAGCCTTGATCAAACTTGCGAAGTCTGAACTTATAAGAAGAGGATGCGAGACTGAACTGTGTGTGGACTACTTAATATTGAGGAAAAGCCCCAATCAGAGAGGCGAACGTTTGCAGCCCCGCCTCCGTTTTCAGATGTCTCCGTCTTTCCCCATCCACACTGAGACGGAGCAGCAGCGTTTTAGAATGAAAACGGCCTCTCCAGCGTTTTCAAAAAGCTCCGTTTTCGGCGCTCGAGAACTCCGGCATAGTGTGGACGGATGGCGTAACCGTAGCAAAACTTATGCGTTTTCAAACTAAAACACACTAGTGTAAACGGGGCCTCAGACTCTCACTAATGTGCCATTTACTATCCTCAGTTCATGGATCACCCTCAGCTTCCAGTCAGGGGTGTGTGTATTCACAGTGGCTACTTAAACACTCTTGAAGAACATTACACATCTCAAGAGTTTTTTTATTGCTTTATATATATATATATATATATGTGTGTGTGTGTGTGTGTGTGTGTGTGTGTGTGTATGTGTCTTAACATTTCTCTTAGATCACAGAGTTGCATACAGATTTTAATGTTAAAATGATGTTGAGATTAATCTCAAGATGCTGTAGAAATGTTGTTTACTGTTGGCTCATGGTTTATTTTTATTTATTTATTCCCAGTAAGTTAATTCAGTAATCTTCTGTTGTTGCTGCCTCAAATACGGGTAACACTTAAAAATAACGGTCTATAAGTCCTTAATATATCGAGTCGACTAATACAATGAAATAATAATCAACACACTTATTACAGTATTTATTCATCTGTGTTCATGTCAGCTCATGCTAATGCAGTCATTCATTATTAGTTCGCATTAGCCCACGGTGCATTAGCTGATGTTATCAAGCTTTAGTAAACACTGAGTTATGATTAATAAAGGCTGTACGAGACTGTAGCATTAATAACATGCACTAATGTTTTAAAGTGTGTCCAGCATTTGCACTAGTTTCCAGCATGAGGATGTTTATAAATGCAGGGAAATATATTACAATTGTGATGAATATATGTCGATGATAATGATGTGTAATCGAGCTTTGTTCACTTGTTGCATAAAGGTTTGTAAAGAAACAGCTGGGCTGAGTTCGTGTTCTTCTCTGTGCTGTGTTTATGTCTCTGAACAGCAGATGGCGCCACTGGAGGGTTCAACACTCGCTATTGGTTCAGTTTTATGTAATATTCTCCTAACATTATGTCTTTATAAACTCATTTAAGTGTGATGAAGCTGTGTGTCATGAGCATTCATGTCAGTTAGCAGATGTTTTATTTAGTTATTTTTGTGCTGGGCAAAGATTCATTCATTTTCTTTTCGGCTTAGTCCCTTTATTATTCAGAGGTCGCCACAGCGGAATGAACCACCAACTATTCCAGCATACTGTATGTTTTTATGCAGCGGATGCCCTTCCATTGGGAAACTGTTGGGCAAAGATTTGCATCCAAAATAAATGTTTGTTTTTAACATAATGTGTGTGTGTGTGTGTGTGTGTGTGTGTACTGTGTATATGTAATATGTATGTATTTTATATGCATTTGCATTTATTTAAATGTTTATTGAGATATAAAATATGTATATGATACAAGTTATATAAATGTAGATATCTAGGGAACAAAATAGTTTTGTTTATATTTATTTACTGTGTTTCACGTACACATAATACACACACACACATGCGCACACACACACACACATATGTGTATTATGTCAAAACGAGTTTTTATTTAGGATGCGATTAATCATGATTAGTCTTTGTCCAGCATTAATTATTTTATTCATTTTCCTTTGACTTAGTTCCTTTATTCATTAGGGGTCACCACAGCGGAATGAACCGCCAACTAATCCAGCATGTTTTACACAGCTGATGCGCTATATGATGAACTAAATTGGCTGTAGTGTATGAGTGTGTGTGTGTGAACGAGTATGTGTGGGTTGCAGTTGGAAGGGCATCCGCTGTGTAAAACATGCTGGAATAGTTGGCGGTTCATTTCACTGTGGCGACCTCTGATAAATAAGGGACTGAATGAAGAGAGGTTTGCATTTGTGAATGTGAGACGCAGGGGCGCAGTGGTCAGCACTGTGGCCTCACAGCAAGAAGGTCGCTAGTTCGAGTCCTGGCTGGGTCAGTTGGTGTTTCTGTGTGGAGTTTGCATGTTCTCTCCGTGTTGGCGTGGGTTTCCTCAGGGAGCTCCGGTTTCCCCCACAGTCCAAACACCATTGTGTAAACCATATGCTGGACAAGTTGGCAGTTCATTCCACTGTGGCGACTTCTAATGAATTAAGTAAGCCGATAAGAAAATTAATGAGTGAATGAATGAAATTTAAAATAAAGTTTATAATAAAACCAGCATCTTTTAAAGAGTGATCCTTAACATATTAACCTAAAATCACACCTTTATAATATAAGGAAAATGTTTTAAAATATTATGAGCAATGAAAGCTTCAACTTCATCAGCAGCAGATGATTTCACATGAAGTTAAATGAGATGCGTTTATTCGGAAGCCCCGCCTCATGTAGGCCACGCCCGCTGCACACTAGCCCCGCCTCTCAGCAGCTGCAGTATAAACAGAGTGGAGTGACAGAAGGAGGAGGAGTGAGACTGACAGCAGCACGCTGATCATCTGAGGTGTGTGTGTGTCATAATAATGATTTAACACAATGTGTGTGTGTGTGTGTGTGTGTGAGTGATTGATGGATGTTGCGGCTGCAGGATGCGCAGGAGCAGCGCTTATATCCCCGTGTCCACCGCTGCCGCTATTCTGGTCTCTTCATCCACACTTTTCTTCGTCTTCACGTGAGTCACACACACTTTTTCATCTTCACACACACTTTTCTCAGGGCTGTTTAGCTTTTACTAACGGTGTTTGTAACAAAGGCCTATTAGTTAACGTATTTACTGAGATGAACAAACCGTTAGTAATGCATTTATTAAATCTTAGTTAACATCATCAGCTCATGTTATTTCAGTTAAATGACGTCAGTTCATGTTAACTCACAGTGCATTAACTAATGTTAACAAGCACAACTTTTAATTTGAATAATGCATTAAAAACTATGATTAATAAATGCAGTACACGATCATAGTTAATATTTAGATGAACTGATGGAGCAAACACCTGAATTATGTCAGATTATCATTAATAACAGAACAGAAACACTTTTTTAATTGTGCATCAGTTGTGTTGTTGTCTGTTTAGGTTGTGTTGTCTAATTCATCATCACCATTCATTGTTATTATTTTATTTACTGTTGTGTGATGAAGTTAAAGTGACAGTTCACCCAAAAAATGAATATTTTCACACTGCTTACTCTCCCTCAAGAGGGTTAGAAACCTTTAAAACTTTCTTTATTCTGTTAAGCACAATAGAAGACATTTTGGAAAATGTTGAAAACCTGTAACTATTTACTTCAATAGTAGGACAATTCTGTAAAAATCATTTACTCACTTTTTTACTTGAGTTTCTTTCTTTTGTTGAACAAAAAATAATATATTTCGAAAAATGCTGGCACCCATTGACTAACATAGTAATTTTTTAGATTTTTAATGTGGAGGTTCTAGCAAAATTAAAGGCACAGTTCATCCAAAAAATGAACATTTACTCATCATTTACTCTGCTCAAACCTTTGTGAGTTTCTTTCTTTTGCTGAACACAAAAGCAGATATTTTGAAGAATGCAGAAAACCTGTAACCATTGACTTTCATTGTAGGAAAAACAAACACTATGGAAGTCAATGGTTACAGGTTTCTAGCATTTTTCAAAATATTTTCTTTTGTGTTCAATAAAAGAAAAAAAAGTATAAAGTTTAATACCACATGAGAGAGAATAAACATTTGTCATTGTTGGGTGTACTGTCCCTTTAAGAAAAAAATGAAAACACTTTATAATATCTATTTGAATGCACAAGAAATTATACTTTTCAAAAGTAATCTTTAATTAATAGTTTTAATTAATTAATTAATTATTTTTGCATTTATTTAGCAAAATATAATCAATTAATTATTCATGTTTCGGTTTAAAAATCACCTCAAAACATTTAAAGTTTGTAATTTGCAAATATTTTTGCACTTTTCCAGACGTATGTAGTATATTTTTAGGACAACAGTGTGTTTTTGTCCAGTAATGAATACATGAAGCCGCTGTTAAACAGTGTGTTGTGGCACGGCTGTAGTATTGCCTGTTTAAAGGGACAGTTCACCCAAAAACCAACATTTACTCACTTTTTACTCTCCTTCAAGTGCTTCCAAACATTTATGATTTCTCTCCTCTATTAAACACAAATGAAGATATTTTGAAGAATGCTGAAAACCTGTAACCATTCACTTCAATAGTAGGAAAAACTAATGCGTTGAACTGTAAGTCAATAGTTACCGGTTTCCAACATTTTTTAAAATACCTTTTTTGTGTTCAAGTTCAAGTTTAATACAATGCGGGAGAGAATAAACAGTGAGGTGATTTTATTTTTTGGGTGAACTGTCCCTTTAAGAAAAAACACTTTAATGATCTATATGCACTATAATATCTGTTTGAATGCACAACAAAACAGACTTTTTAAAGTCATCATAAATGCTTTTTAATGAATAGTTTTAACTAGTTAAGTACTTTTTGCATTTATTTTGCAATTATTTATACATGTTTTTGTTAGAAAATAATCTCAAACCATTTAAAGTTTTAGTTTTTTCCCAGTCATTTGAATATTGGAATATTTTTTACATTTTTACAGACCTGTGGTTTATGTAGTTTACGTTTTTTCAGGACAAACTTTTTCATAATTTCTGAAAGTGTGTTTGTGTCCAGTAATGAATACATGAAGCCGCTATTAAACAGTGTGTTGTGGCACTGCAGGAGTATTATCCGAGGGTCAGTTCACCAAAAAATGAAAACTACTCACTATTTACTCTCCTTCAAGTGCTTCCGAACATTTATGAGTGTCTTTCCTCTGTTAAACAAAAGCATTGAAGAATACTGAAAACCGGTAACCATTAACTTCCATAGTATTTGACATTCTCACTATGTAAGTGGATGGTTACCGGTTTTCAGCATTTTTCAAAATAGCTTAATTTGTGTTTAAAGAAACTCAAACAGCTCTGAAACAAGTGAAGGGAGAGTAAATGATGAGCGCACTGACATTTGTGTGTGAACTGCCCCTTTAAGAGTGAGTGTGTGTTCCAGCAGAGCGGACGGTGTTTTGAGTGGATTGTGTGTGATTTTAATCCAGCAGTGAAAGTAGGGCAGTGAGCCACTGTACAGCACTGATCACACACACACACTTATTACAGCATTATTATTATTATCAATACAAAACACACTCATGCACTGCGCTATATAAGACAATATAATACAATATTTATTAAAAAGCACATTTAAAAGCAGCCCAAGTTGACCAATGTAATGTTCAACCTCATTAGTTTGTTTCAATTCAGCACATATCATGTGTTTACAACCATTTACTTTAAAAACATTGAGTAAATCTAATGACTCTTGTTTTTTTCAGTGCACTAAAGTCTGAGAAAATTAAATGAAATGTAAAGCAGAGAAAATCAAAGGTCATTAATGAGTAAAAACAGTAATGAAGGAGTATTTCTGAAGGGCGCTGTGGCTCTGGCCTGATGTGGTCTGACCTTTACTCGTCCCAGATTTTGTGTGTGTGTGTGTGTGTGTGTGTGTGTGTGTGTGTGTGTGTGGTGAGCTCCAGCAGATGGGAAGTTCAGGATTAGGATTTGCTCCTGGTGGCGTTTGTTCCTCCGTCTGGAGAGTCGGGTGTTGATGATGAAGCAGCAGCACATCTGTCCGCCATCCCAATTCACCAAACACGCTAAAACTAGACCATAACTGCAGATTCAGGAGGAAATCTGAACATATTCGGCATCAGTCCTTCGTTTTGGACTGCGAAACGTTTGATTAGGGTGGCACGGTGGCTTAGCGGTTGCTTTACTGTTTACATTGTTTTGCTGACGCTTCCCCTGTACTCTGACCATGCGTTTGTGCGAGTCTTTACAATCGCACTCTCAGAGTTTACATCTAAATCACGGACAGAGACTCCTCCCCCTCCCCATCAGCCAATCACTGTGTGCATAGCTAATAATCATGATGACATCATCCACAGTAATGAGGTAAACCCCGCCCTCACTCTCAGACTCCCTCTATTCCTCAGTAGTAGTTTGTTTCAGCAGCTTTCAGCACAAGAACACCTTTACTGCTCAGTGGTCAGCACTGTGGCCTCACACCAAGAAGGTTGCTGGTTCGAGTCCCAGCTGGTTCAGTTGGAGTTTGCATGTTCTCCCGGTGTTGGCGTGGGTTTCCTCCGGGTGCTCCGGTTTCAGTCCAAACACATGCGCTATAGGGGAACTGATGAACTAAACTGGTCGTAGTGTATGAGTGAGTGTGTGTGAATGAGTGTGCATGGGTGTTTCCCAGTACTGGGTTGCAGTTGCAAGGGCATCCGCTGCGTAAAACATATTCTGGAATAGTTGGCGGTTCATTCCGCTGTGGCCATCCCTGATAAATAAGAGACTGAGCTGAAGGAGAATAGATTATTTCTTATAGATGATATTGTTTGAACGACTGAATCATGAGGAGTGCAGATGGTCATAAATCAGCGTGCGTCTCTGTAATCCGCTGATAAGAAATCAGGATCTTGATGAGAAAAGCCTTTGTCCTCACATTCAGATCATTCATTCCTGACCCATATATCAGCCGGCGGACTCACTGTCCTCTCGCAGCATCACGCCGACTCTTCCGAGGATTATTACTTTTATATTTAGAAACACAAAATATGAAGTTTGATGTAATGATGGCGTAGAGCTGAATATCCACAGATCTGACCTGAGACCAGCGGCATTCATACGGTAATGGCCTCTGCTGTGCCACTGGCTGTGTTTTATACAGTTACTCACATGCTTACTCTTGTTAAACTAGTGTTTATACAACTTCTGAATTATTTGATCGGGATTAATTTGATGAGAAATGACAGCACAGCAAAACACATCATAGCAGAACACAACACAACAATACAGAGTAACATAACAATACATGACACAACATAACAACATTCATTCATTCATTTTCCATCAGCTTTGTCCCTTTATTAATCAGGGGTCACCACAGTGGAATGAACCACCAACTATTCCAGCATATGTTTTACACAGTGGATGCCCTTCCAGCTGCAACCCAGTAATGGGAAACACCCATGCACACTCATGCATACACTACGGCCAGTTTAGTTAATCAATTCCTCTATATAGCGCATGTGTTTGGACTGTGGGGGAAACCGGAGCATGCCAGCACAGGGAGAACATGCAAACTCCACACAGAACCCCCCCTCCCACATAGCAAAATACCTCTGGTCTCACACAATCAGGTTTTGCTTGGCCCACATGCTGCGGTGAATTATGGTACATGACTGGACCAAGTCTAGCTTCCAGACAAGGGCCAAACATGGACCATATCTGGGCCAAGTCTCAGTCAAGTTAATAACCCATAACTGGGTCTAAACTGGGCCAGATATGTTGGTGTGTAACGAATGCTTACATAGCAAATGTTTTCTGGCCCAGCTCCGGGCCACACAATAACATTTCTCTTGTCCCAAGTACTGAGAAGAATGGTGGTCCTGAAGTGGCCCATAACTGAATTGGGCCACACATGGGCCTGAATCTCATCTAATTGATCACCCTTAACTGGCCCTGAACTGGGCCAAAACAGGTTTATTATTGGTACCGATTCTCAGCTATATGATTATACTTTAACCAGAAACCCGAAAAACCATAACCCAGCCTAATGTCACCTAAACAATGTGAACCATCGCTACACTGATCTGGGCCACACACCTCCCGTCTACAACTGGCCCGAATGCAGTTTGCCGTCATGCATGCAGTGCCATCATTGGCATGCATGGCCCACATTGGGCTGACATTATGCATGCCAGTGCCGGCAACACACCAGCAGCAGTGCCGTAATCAGGCCACATTTGGGCCAGGTCCGTTTGCTATGTGCGTGATGACTTGATAAACCCATGAATCATTGCGCTTTAGGCACACCATGGGCGTGCTTTTTCTTAAAGCGACCTGATTGGTGGAATTGATTTATTTTAATTTGAAAATAGTAACAAGGTATTTTAAATCTGGGTCAAGATTGTTCTGCTTACCTGACCCACATATCAACTATTAACATCTGGGCCAAATACTACACTTCACATCTGACCCAAGTGATGTGTGCCGCCTTAAACACGGTGCCACCTCTGCCAAACCAGGGCCATGTTTGGCCCACATGCTGTATACTAGTGCGGGATGAACGCCTGCTGTGCCAGATTTATGCCAAATCTGGGCCAGAATTCTTTGCTACCTGGGCCGGCTGCATCTCTTTGGGTAAATCTGGATTATTGGGTGTTAAATATGAGTGCAGTGAATAAACTGCTGCAGTGTGTGTGTGTGTGTGTGTGTGTGTGTGTGGAGAGAGAGTATATGTGTGTGTGTGTGTGTTCACTCTGCTGCTGTGGGTCAGTGTTTTGTGCGCTGGGCCTTTTCCTGTAGATCCAGCAGTGTGTGTGTGTGTGTGTGTGTGTGTGTGTGCGTGTGTGTGTGTGTGTGTGTGTGTGCGTGTGTGTGTGTGTGTGTGCAGGGCAGACGCTCTATAATCTGGGATTAGTGACATGCTCCTCCTCCATCCTCCCTGTTACACACACACACACACACACACACACACACACACACACACACACACACACACACTGTATGAAACACTGAATGATATCACACATCTGGATATCTGGGGTGAATTTTCTCTTTATTTGATCACACACACACTTACGTAGGTTTATTGAATGGAGACTGAGTTTAATCCGGGTC